ACAATGGACAGATCATCTAGGCAGAAAATCAATGAAGAAACAATGGCCCTGAATGATACACTGGACCAGAAATACTTGACAGATATATTCAGAACTTTTCATTCAAAAGCAGCAGAACACCCATTCTTCTCAAGTGCACATGGAACATTCTCCAAGATAGATCACACATTGAGTCAAAAAAAAGCCCTCAATAAATATAAAAGAATTGAGATCATACCATGCATATTTTCAGATCACAGCACTATGAAACTTGAAATCAACTACAAAAAAATTTGGAAAGCCTCCAAATGCATGGAGGTTAAAGAACATACTACTAAAGAATGAATGGGTCAACCAGGAAATTAAAGAAGAAATTGAAGAATATATGGAAGCAACTGAAAATGAAAACATGACAGCCCAAACCCTTTGGGATGCAGCAAAGGCAGTCTGAATAGGAAAATACACTGTAATCCAGGCCTACCTCAAGAAACAAGAAAAATCCCAAAAACAAAACCTAACCACACACCTAAAGGAACTAGAAGCAGAACAGCAAAGAAAGCCCAAAGTCAGCAGAAGAAGAGATATAATAAAGATTAGAGCAGAAATAAATAATATAGAATCTAAAAAAAATAGTAGGACAGATCAATGAATCTAAGAGCTGTTTGTTTTGAAAAAATAAACAAAATTGATAAACGCCTAGCCAGATTTCTCAAAAAGAAAAGAGAGAGAGCCCAAATAGATAAAATCATCAATGAAAGAGGAGAGATCACAACCAACACCACAGAAATACAAAAAAATTTAAAAATACTATGAAAAATTATATGCCAACAAACTGGACAATCTGGAAGAAATAGACAAATTCCTAGACACCCACACACTACCAAATCTCAAATGGAAAGACATAGAAATTTTGAACAGACCCATAACCAGTGAAGAAATTGAATCAATTATCAAAAATTTCCCAACAAATAAGAGTCCTGGACCAGATGGCTTCCCAGGGGAATTCTACCAGACATTTAAAGTAGAGTTAATACCTATCCTTCTCAAGCGGTTTCAAAAAAAAAAAAAAAAATGGAAGGACAACTTCCAGACTCATTCTATGAAGCCAGCATTACTTTGGTTCCCAAACCAGACAGAGATCCCACTAAAAAGGAGAATTATAGGCCAATATCCCCGATAAACATGGATGCAAAAATTCCCAACAAGATACTAGCATAAGGCAATCCACTGTATATTAAAAGAATTATTCACCATGATCAAGTGGGATTCATTCCTGGGCTGCAGGGCTGGTCAATATTTGCGAATCAATCAGTGCAATGCATCATATTACTAGGAGAAAGGATAAGAGCCATATGATCCTGTTAATAGATGCAAAAAAAAGCATTGGGCAAAATACAGCATCCCTTCTTAATTAAACCCTCAAGAAAGTCAGGATAGAAGGAACATGCTTAAACATAATAAGAGCAATATATGAAAAGCCCACAACTAATATCATCCTCAATGGGGAAAAACTGAGAGCTTGCCCCCTGAGATCAGGAACACGATAGGGATGTCCACTCTCACCACTGTTGTTTAACATATTGCTGGAAGTCCTAGCCTCAGCAATCAGACAACAAATGAAATAAAAGCATCCAAATTGGCAAAGAAGTCAAACTTTACTTTTCGCAGATGACATGATGCTCTAAATGGAAAACCTGAAAGACTCCACCAAAAAGCTGCTAGAACTGACACATGAATTCAGCAAAGTTGCTGGATAAAAAAAATCAATGTACGGAAATCGTTTGTAGTTCTATACACCAATAATGAAGCAACAGAAAGAGAAATCAAGAAATCGATCCCATTTACAATTGCACCAAGAACCATAAAATACCTAGGAATAAATCTAACCGAAGATGTAAAAGATCCGTATGCTGAAAACTATAGAAAACTCATGAAAGAAATTGAAGAAGGCACAAAGAAATAGAAAAATATTCCATGTTCATGGATTGGAAGAACTAACATTGTTAAAATGTCAATACTATCCAAAGCAATCTACACATTCAATGCAATCCCAATCAAAATTGCACCGGCATTCTTCCCAGAACTAGAACAAACAATCCTAAAATTTGAATGGAACCACAAAAGACCCAATGTTTATAGCAGCACTTTCAACAATAGCCAAATTATAGAAAGAGCCCAAATGTCCATCAACTGATGAATAGGTAAA